GGCCTCCCCCCCCCTCCCCCCCCCACACACCTGCCAGAGCAGAGCCACGTGGAGCAGCTTGCAACTGCAGCCTTCAGGTTGCTGCAGGACTGTTGACTGGAAGCTGCCTAGGTTGGTGCCTCCCAGCCAGAGCCCACTCCTCCTTTTCTCCCCCTGCCCCCCAACTACCTGCTGCAGGCCACCACCCAAACTCCCTTTCCCCTGGGTCACAACTCCCCTCCCAGACCCTGCACCCTCTCTTACACCCTTTCCCTAGGCCAGAAGCCTCTGGCACCCATACCCCCTCCCTGACTCTGCATCCCCTTCCCCTGCCCTAAGTCATCACCCAAACCCTCTGCACCTCATCCCCCAGGTCACAACTCCCTTCAGACCCTGCACCACCTCTTAGGGTCCCTCCCTCAGTCCAGAATCCTCTCCTGCACCCATACTCCCTCCTGGACGGTCCCTCCCTCAGGCCAGAATCCTCTCCTGCACCCATACTCCCTCCTGGACTCTGCACCCCAAGCCTCTGCCCAAGATCACAGTCCCTTCCTTCACTCAAACTCCCCCTCAGACTCCACACCCCCTCCTGCACTCAGTCTCCTACCCCAACCTCCCTTCTGCACCTAACCTCTGTCCCAGACTCCAGACCGCCTTGGTAGAAATGCAGCCCTTGACCACTCGATAAAATCTTGGAGTGGCCCCCCCATTAAAAATTATTGCCCACCTCTGAACTAGATAGGTGGAGATTAACACAGTGGGCATAGTCAGAAGAAGCTTTGCAGCTTATGACAGTTTTTCCTTATGAGTTACAGGCTGTGTATGTATCCCTTGTTGTGAGTGTCTTTCTGTAATCCATCTAAGTTTGATTTTGACCCCTTAGCTTCTTGGAATCACAATGTCAAAGTCCAACAGAATTAGTTCAGTCCTTAATCCTTCCACAGTAAATTGTGTTTCATATGGTTTATTTTTTATTGTGTAGAGGGTAGGGTTTTCCCCCCCTCCTGTTATGTATGCTGAAGATCCTATAGCATGTATTGTAAGCGGATGGGCTTGTCCTGATGTCCTTAGCCAATATTTTTTCTCTCCCCCCTCCTGATATGTATGCTGAAGATCCTATAGCTTGTATAGGCAGTCCCTGGGTTACGTACAAAATATTTTTTCTCCTTCAACCAGAACACAGAATAGCAATGTGCAGTTAGTTGTGACTTCCACTCCAAGGGTAGCTTTATTTAACGATGCAATGTGTGTAAATATTATAAAAACCCTTTGGGATCCTTTTATAGTTGAAAGAGTTTATATTATTTATTATTGTAAACTGAATTGTCTTGTTTTATGTCTCTGTAATCACAACATACACTGACTTTTTAAACTTGTTCTTAGATCATAAGTAATTTTTTCATATTCAGCTGCTATATGAGTTCTTGTATTGATTTGGAGGAGTTGGTATATAAATAATGGTGGTGTGAAAATATTTAATGGATTTAGCCCTATAATAAGGAATATCTTAGCTTCATATTCTTTACCAATATGTATTAAAAAGGGCCTTGTGAAGACTTGATCATGAAAGTATTGACTAATTTCTTTTCAGCTAGTATATTCTCAGTGTCTGTAGCTACTTGTTTCATCAAAGCATCTCCAGCATAGGTTTCTTCCCCAGACCTAAGATTTTTGTCTGATATGTTTACTTTAACATCAGACTTCTAACTGTGTTTCTGCTAGTTACAGTAAAACTCCATTGGTCCGGCATCTGACGGTCCAGCACTCCTGATGGTCTGGCACCATCAGGAACCCGGAAGTGCTCTGCAGCCGGACCATTGGAGCTGCTCTGCCCCCAGCTTCCCCTATTCAGCTGCTGCTAAAACTGACCAGCAGCTGAATCAGGGAAGCCGGGGGAAAGTAGCTGAAGTTCTGCCAGGTAGGTCCCGTAGAGCTGCCCCTCGGGACTGCAGGACCAATCCGGCAGCACCCCAGCTGTCCCCCATTCCAAGTCAGACATTGCTGATGCAGAGCTGCTCTGCCTCAGGTTTCCTGGAGTCAGCTCTTGGTCAATTTCAGCAGCGGCTGACTTGGGGATGCCTGGGGCAGAGCAGCTGGAGTGCTGTCGGGTTGGTCCAGTAGCGCTGAGGAGCGGCGCTACGGGACCAACCCAGCAGCGCCCCAGCTGCTCTGTCCCAGGTGTCCAGACTCAGCTGCTGGATG